TCAAACTTCACAGAGGTCTTTCATCTGATTCTCTCGAATCCATCTCCGATAGTAAAAACGTGAATTTGAGTTCAGCTAGTTTCGTTATCGCCCGTTGTCGTTGCGCGTAAGGTTTGTGGTTATCGTTATCGCACACTGTCGTGAATTTGTTTTATTTTTTGTGCAGTTTTCGTAGTCTCACTTAGACACATCACTTAGGTTTTGTCGTTTTGAATGCAGAGTCTAGTGTTAGTTCGGATACGTTTTTATCATTTTGCCTGATGATTTAATTTTGATATTAACTGATGAATTCGTCTATCAAAATATATCGCCATCTCAAACGTTTTGCAGTTAGTGGCTCTGTCTGGATCACCAAAAATCAAACTAAGTGCCGAAGTGTCGAAAATAACGATCCCGGGCAGGAAGAAATGCTATCGGCTGTACGGTAAATTTGGTTATGGTATCTGTGATCTGATGACTCTGGAAGAGGAACCTCCACCGAACATCAATGAACCGATTCTTTGTCGACATCCGTTCCTGGTTTGTTGCCCGCAGCTTTTCTTAACTTCGATTGTGAGAACATTCTTAGCTTTAATATAATTCTGCCTATGTTTAATTCTCATCTTTCATATGTGGATGATTGTGTCCATTTGCATACGTATATTACTTCTGAATTCATGCGTTGAGCTCGTTTTTCGAGACTAATTCAAATTAGATTCCAGTGGAACACACATTAGCATCACTTCGATCACTTGCTTTCTTGTTTTTAAATCGTTCGAGATCAATTGACGTTCAAGCAAAAATCTCATTTGGTTGAAGTTGTTGAAGTGCTTTTCAGGAAAGTAAACGCGCACTTGTAATTGCACAACGAGTTGAAGAATTGCAGCTGAAATATTGGGATAATGGGAAAATTTTGCAGGTTCGTTTAAATTTCTCGTTTTGACTGAAATGAGGAACTCATACACATTGGTTCTTTCTGAAATTTGTTTGGTTTCATTTACTGAAGAAGTAAATCGATGTGTTTGTTTGTTCCAAAAAAAAAAATGCATTTCAGCCGCTACCAAGTTTAAGCGGAATGCGACAATACGTCAATGAATCGTTGGATCGTACACGTAGAGATCATCGACGACTGTTGAATCCAACTCCGTATAAGGTTTCGATTCCGTTCGATGTGTTCAATTAAGAGTCATTTTCATTGTTTCATTTCGTTTCGTACGATCAAACCGAAGAGGACGATAGAAAAGTATCAAATTTGATGAGATGCGATATGTTATTGTTAGTTATTGCTTCGGAATAATACAGTTGCCACTCAACCGAGCAAGATGGAGTCAAGAGCATAAATTGCGTGAGGAGTCGGGACAAGAGCAATGAAAGTTGTGAAAATAATTGATTTTCATTGATCTTGCAGGTGTCTGTGAGCGAAAAACTCTACGATTTTTTGCATCTCATTTGGCTTCAGAACGCGCCAATAGGTCAA